AGCAGCACGAGGAGGGGGAGGCCTGCAGACGAAAGGATGGGGGGGGATTGGCGGCACGCAGAGGGGGGTACCGTAGGGGCCCGACCACAAGAAACCTTCCACAAGAAACCCAACCCTGAGACCCCAGAGGAGGTCCATCGATTTTTGCTGTGGGAACGTCACGCTCTCCACAAGAAACCCAGGGCACCCTGGAGGCGAGCAAGGTGCTTCTTGGCATGGGCCCGACGGCCTTATTCGTCATGGCGGAGGCCGTGGGCGCCGAGCGCGCCCTGCGTGTGAGCGGGGAGCTCTGGGCCTCCCAACTGGGGTTCAAATAGACGGAATGGGATGCATCGACCTCCAACCATGCCCCCTCGAGGATCAGGACGAGGGCTAGGAGCAAGGCAACTGCCAACGGGCCCAGGTGCCTGACGGGGTAGCTTCGCGATCCTAGCGACCAGCCGTAGTGCTGGCACGGACAGACATGGCAAGCAGATCGCCTGATCGTGGTATGAAGCGGACCCTCACGAAAGATTGTGTCCAATCGTGGCGCGAAGCACGCGATCGCCGCCAGGCACGAGTCCAATCGTCGGTCGTCCCCTTGCAGTCAGGCAGGCAACTAATCCCAGGAGGGAGAATGGGGAAACCAAACCGCACCAATACCGCTACTCCCCGGACCTCTCCTGGGGTGCGTTCTGACCAGAATTTCGATGCGAATCCAGCGGTGGCGGCGAGGGCCTCCTAGGAGGCCAAAAAAAAGGGAAAACGAGGAGAGGGTAGCGGTATGGGTACCCTTTCCTCCTCTGACAGAAAAAGGGGGCGAAGGTGAGGATGGTGGAGGAGGAGTTGCCGCGGCCCCCCCGCTCGGCTATCGACGCTGGTGCTCGGAACTCTGGGCCCCCCTCGCGCCACGAGCACCACCGCGGGCGAGGCCCGCGCCCTGGCCCCCGAAAAAAACCGCACGGCCCGTGGGCCGCGTCCCCTCGAGGCCCCCCGTGGGCCCATCCCTCCCCTGGGCTCCGCACGACGGCCTAGCTGCCACCTCACATGGAAAATTCGAAGAAGACGAAGAAGAATACGAATGATAAGAATGACACGAATACATAACAATTCCCCAGTGCGACCCTACCTAGAAGTCGGAGCCCCTAGGAAAGCAGCAGTAGTTGCTATGTTATGCTATGCTATGCTATGCTATGTTATGCTATGATATGCTATGGTATGCTATGCTATGCTGTGCTATGATATGCTATGATATGCTATGCTATGCTATGCTATGCTGCGCTATGCTGCGCTATGCTTTGCTATGCTATGCTATGCTATGCTCTGGTATGATATGCTGCGCTATGATATGATATGTTATGATATGAGTTGTTCATATATGATAAGTCATGATGTGCCGTGCTATGCTAAGATATGATATGAAATGGTATGGTAAGCTTCGCTATGCTATGCTATGCTATGGTATGATATGATATGCTATGATATGATATGATATGCTGCGCTATGCTATGCTATGCTATGCCATGCTTGGCTATGGTATGCTATGCTATGCTATGCTAATGCAGCGCTGCGCTATGCTATGCTAAGCTAAGCTAAGCTAACCCTCTAGGCAGAGCCTAGGTAGGGAAGGCAAGCTAAGCTAAGATAAACCTGAGCTAAGATGAAGCTAAGCTAAGCTAAGATGAAATAAGCTAAGCTAAGATGAGATAAGCAACGCTAAGCTAAAGGAACGTCAATGGGAGAACCGCGGGGCGAATCCTGGGGAAACCGCCCGGGGTGAGGTCCACTGCCCGGCCCTTTAAGCCAACAGGGTAAGAACCCTTCTAGGCAGAGCCTAGGTAGAGAAAAAACAAATGAATAAAGACATAAACAAATAAATCCGCCGGCCCCCTTGCGGGGCCACCAGGCTGTAGGCCAGGAATGTGCTGCTCCCTGTACCAGTTGCAGTTTCCAGTTTCCACTGTTACACTTCTGCTTCTTCCTGCTTACTGTTCCTTGTTGGTGAACGCGCGAGGAGGGGGGGGGAGCCCAAACCAGCAGAACTACCACGCCCTGGGAGGGTTCTCATAATTTCTGGGGGGGTAAAACTTGACACCCCTCACGCAGATCCGCAGGGTCAGGGTCCAAAAACACAAGGGGTTTGCCACAATTCTGAAATTCAATGGCACCCATCACGGAGATCACACATTGAATTTGCCACATTTCTGAAATTCGGTGGCACCCCTCACGCAGATCCGTAGGATCAGGGTCCAAAAACATAAAGGATTTGCCACATTTCTGAAATTCGGTGGCACCCCTCATGCAGATCCGTAGGATCAGGGTCCAAAAACACATAAGATTTGCCACATTTCTGAAATTCAGTGGCACCCCTCACGCAGATCCGTAGGGTCAGGGTCCAAAAACATAAAGGATTTGCCACATTTCTGAAATTCGGTGGCACCCCTCACGCAGATCCGTAGGATCAGGGTCCAAAGACACATGAGATTTGCCACATTTCTGAAATTCGGTGGCACCCCTCACGCAGATCCGTAGGATCAGGGTCCAAAACCATAGGGGATTTGCAACATTTCTGAAATTCTGTAGCACCTCTCACGCAGATCCGTAGGGTCAGGGTCCAAAAACATAAAGGATTTGCCACATTTCTGAAATTCGGTGGCACCCCTCACGCAGATCCGTAGGATCAGGGTCCAAAAACACATAAGATTTGCCACATGTCTGAAATTCAGTGGCACCCCACACGCAGATCCGTAGGGTCAGGGTCCAAAAACTTATGGGACTTGCCACATTTCTGAAATTCGGTGGCACCCCTCACGCAAATCCATCCATAGGGTCAGGGTCCAAAAACACAAGGGATTTGCCACATTTCTGGCATTCAGTGGCACCCCTCACGCAGATCCGTAGGATCCGGGTCCAAAACCATAAGGGATTTGCTACATTTCTAAAATTCGGTGGCACCCCTCACGCAGATCCGCAGGGTCACGACGTCTTACCAACCGCCAGGTGTGGTAACCCCTCTGGTGATCAATTGGTTTTGCTCATTACGAGTCGGCCTCGCATGAAGCTCCGATACTGCTTCACGACAGCGCCCAGATAGCTATTGCATAGCGCATTCTCCGAGAGAGGGGGCCGGCGGCAGGGGGCGAAGCCCGTACAGATAAATAAGAAATCGATCAATACTTACATAAATACATACAGAACATTGTCAGAATGATAATACGAGTAATACGTAAATAAAAACAAAATGAGGAAACACAAACAAACATGAAAATAAACATGAATAACAAAATAAAACAAACGAATAATACTAACCTTAATGATAACAAAAAAGAAGAAGAAGAAGAAGAAGAAGAAGAAGAAGGAGAAGGAGAAGGAGGAGAAGAAGAAGAAGAAGACGAAGAAGAAGAAGAAACGCCATAAACATACTCTTGTGGCGCTCCGTGCGGATTCCTTGATCCGCACTGGGCCCCCCCTGGCGGTGCCTTCGGCGCCGCCCCTGGCGCGCTCCGCGCGCCAGGGAGGGGGGCCCAGCGCGGATCCGAGAAATCCACGCGGACCTCCAAAAGTTACGTTTATACCGTTATTTTATTCTCACAAAAATGCTCCACTCGAGGCGTTTGTTCTTCCACCTCTGGATCGCAACATGGTTATATAGCTAGCCGAGTTTCCCGAGTGTGCAGAACACTTTCAAGGCAGTCCAGGCCTCAAGCAGCAGTCGGTCGGCCCGAGTTCGGGGCTGTGGCGCCCCGCCGCTGGCTGCCGCCAGCCCGCGCTGCGCCACGACGGAGAGGGAGGAGGGGGAAGGAGAAGCAGGCAGACGACGGCGAACGCGCAGGCAGGAGACCAGGGCCGGCGGGACGAAGCATGGGACTCACAGAGGCACACTAATACGATACGTCCTCCTTGGAGGAACGCGTCCGACCCGAACATATGGTATACCCATCTTGTGGTATCTCGTTCCCCGAGCGGTGCGGCCAGAAGGCGCCCGCCACGACGCATATACTACAAGATTTCTCGGTGCTCGCGTCGCCCCTGGGGGGGCGACGCACACTTAGCATAAATACGTTGGGGTGACGCCGAAAGCAGGCGGGCGGGCGGCCGGAAAGGGACAGAGGGTAGACGGCAAGCAGGGAGCAAGGCTCCCACCCTTCCCCTGCTCTGCGCGCCCCCCTCGAGAGGCTCGACCCGAACCCCGATGGCACCCCCCGCCTTCCCGCCGCTCGCCTCTGGGCACTTGGCGGCGCGGGGGGGCCACGTGCGAACCCTGCTACCCCCACCCACCCCCAGAACTCGTGTGGGCTCGCACGTGGCCCCCTATCATGGGCCCAGGGCTTCGCCTGGTGGCGGGCGCGGGAGCTCCCGCGGGCACGGGGCCCGCTGCGGAAACCGGCTCTGCCAGAGACCCTCGGGCCCAGGGCACCGCCAGGGGCTGGCGAACAAAATCCGCCGAGGACGGGCCGAACAGGCAAAGGTGCCAGGGAAGCACTGGCAGAATACAAACTGAGCCCTTACGGCAGGCTCCCGTCGTAACGACGTCGGCGCTGGTTTCTGACACCACCTGGATCGTTCAACAGTGAACGGCCGCGACCTTCCGATAGCGTCAGGTCGGGCATGTCCTCCGGCAGGCGGTTTTTGGAGGATAAATAAGAGATGCTCAAAAATAATCATACGTAGTCAAAGATCATCGAAAAATCGTCCCCATACTATTTTCGACTGTTTTTGAATATTCCTCCTGTAGAGGGACAGGCCCGACGGAACGATAGCGCAGCTCGCTCGACATCGGCCGATCGTGAACCGCTGGTGGCCTTCAGCCTCGATGGGCCTCCGCTTGAGTCGCCGCCGCGCCAGCGCGGCGCGAACCCTGCCGCACTCCAGTGGTGGACTGCACATCCCATCCGCCAGGAGAATCGAATCGACTAGTCTGATCGGCGATCGAAACGAATCGGATCGGCGGAAATCGACGGCCAGGCCGGGAAAAAATCTGATCGGCAAAAGTCGGCCAGCCGGGAAAGCCTCCATCGAGA